GGAACTATTGAAATTGTATAAATTCTGGGGTTTTTAATTGTTCAGGGAACAGCTCATGTACTAAAGACTAAAGAGTTCACAAACATAGTAAAATTCAAAGATGAAATAAACTGTACCTAGTAAAATTCAAACATGATACAATTTAGTCAAACATACCCAACCGCTACCAACTTAAAAGGTTCTGGTTTTCCCGGTCCAAGTAAATAATTGAGCAAACTCAGACCTTAAATCAATCCAAAAAAAAGTGAGCCAAACAATAAAATTAGAACCAGTGATTTCCCTTAAGGTAAAGTGTAATATAATTAAATTAAAACACAGAACATTTTTTAAAAAAAAAATACTACTTCCATTACTTATAATTAAATTCGATACAAGGCCCTAAGGCCCATCAAAAAGCTGGACCAACCCAGACCAGTAAATTGTTCCATAAGGACAAATACCAACAAAACAACCCGTTAGAAGAGAGAAAGCCATGTGCCGAGTAAAGAAGCAGGAGGTGTAGATGTTGAGAGAGTGATCGAGGACGAGGCTCTGGAGAGTGGGTCTAACCGAAGACGCAGAGTGTCTTTGACTTCTGCTATGATAGCAGCAGGAGAGCGAGAAACGGTGGAGTGGAGCGTTAAACACAGAACATTAACTATGGATAAAAACGGAAACCAAGAAACGATGGAATCAAGGATGATTTGTCATGGGAGCTAAATCGAAGAGTGACCTACAATGTGGAGGAGTTTTTTCTCTAAAGCCTCTGAAAGCGTCATGCCGTTATTGAATCTCAGTCAGTGTATTCCAATAGTGTTATTATCTGCACCCAAGGAGGCAGGAAAAAATAAAAACCCTAACTTGAGACACACGTCACAATTGTTTTGTTGCACAATAGTCACGCTATTGCCGAAAACCTAAATACAAACCTGATCTCTTCCTTACTCCATGATTGCTTTCTGAAAAATATGTCCTGTTTCAATCAATACCAACCCAATACTAATACCGATTCAAACTGATAAAAGCAGAGTTTTAAGTCATGATCCTGTCGTTTACCCCATATGGTAACCAGAACCTTAACCTACAACATGGTTGCTGGTCTCGGTTCTCAGTAATCCCTTAAAGATACAGTTAAATGTGACCTTCCAGATCCTGCCCTTAACCCTCAAAAGCGCCTCAGAAACTGCATTAACCACTTGTTACAAAGCCCTCTTTTGAAACCTACTCTCTGTCTGCATGACTTTGGTTTTAAAGCTAAAGATAGTTCCAGGACATGAGCAGCTTCTCTTGCTTAACCTGTGGCTGCTCTCTCCTTACCTTGACAAAAACCTTCACTTTCTACTTGAACTTGAACCACCAGTGTTTTTGGAAAATTTAACGAGTACACATCTCTAAAACACAACCATCACTCTGATACGGTCACAAACAACCACCTGAAGCTGTAAAAACCTTGACACTGAAACGCTGGCTTCGTTTCTTAACCTTGACACACGTGGCTGTTTGACATATCATTCTCCTCATCCAGTCTGCTACTGCCACGTACTCAAGACTCTCTGTTTCCAAAAGATTTCGGTTTACCATGCTGTTCTCCTCCAGACTTTTGGTTCTGAATCATATGGTTGTGTTTCTTGTCGGTATTATACGAAATGGTTTTTAGTTTTTGTTTTTTAAAAACCATTTTATCTTCCAATCAAGTTTTTGAAGAAGTAGATTTCCTAAAATATAGGGAAACAAGTTTTTGTAGTAACTAACTAATTCTAAAAAAAAACAAAAACTGTGTGTTTCCTGGTTTTTATCAGTTTACGTTGATTTTTTTTTTGTATTTTTGTTTTAAAAGATTTTTTTAAAGTAAACTCTACCCCTAATTTCAATTTGCCGAATTATCATTCATTGTTTAAAATCATTTTAGAAAGACTATGAGGTTGATTGTTTCTAGTTTTTGGTTTATGTTTTTAACAACTATTTTATTATAAGTTTTTTAAAAATAAATACAGGACTAACAAATTTGCTGACATGACACTCTAAGGAGTGAGTAAACTCTTTCATTATAAATGAAAGAAATTTTCTACAGTACCTTAAAATTTTCAAATTTTTTTTAAGTAAACAATGACACATCCTAGGGATTCACACCAAATCTAATAAATCTATAATTTATCAAATGATTTTGAATGAGAAACTACAAAACAATGACATTTTCTATATTTCCCGAGTAATTGACCGTATAAGGTGAAGGAAATAAAATATTTTTTCTACAGTAGCTCAAGACTTTCAATTTTTTTTTTAAGTAAACAATGACACATCTATTGTACAAAAATTTTTTTCGTCTTGAATAATTTATCATTCATTCAAAAATTAAAAAAAAAAAAGTTGAGTCTTGAGAATACCTTGTAAATCGTTGAGAGAGTACCAATAGGAAGTTTACGCTGGTTTTTAATTCAATAACTTACCAATAAGCAACAGAAAAAAGAGTGAAATAATATACATGGATGACTTTACTACACTCAACGTTTTTGAAATCCGGACTGGACCGGGAGGTCGAACCGTTCCGACCGTACCCTTCATTAGTAAACCGAGTTGATCCAGAAGCCAGATTTGATAAAACCTAACTAGGGTGATGATTGTTTGGATGGTTTTTAGATTTTAGTTTTTAGTTTTTGGATTTTGGTTTTTAGTTTTTGTCTTTTGGTTTTTAGTTTTTGGTTTCTGATTTTGCAGTAGATTTTAGTTTTTGAAAAAACACGAATGACAGATTCTTGTTTTTAGTTTTTGATTTTAGCTTTTACATTTAATAAATATTTTATTTTAGTTTTTAAGCATTATTTTTTTAATTTTGATTTTACTGTCATTTTAGTTTTCAGAAAATTTTTGAATGATGATTTTTAATTTTTAATTTTTAATTACTTATTTGAAGTTGAAATAAAAATAAATTAAAAACCCAAATTTAATTAAACCAAAAAATAGATTTCTGAATTTTATTTTTTTCTTTAGAGTCTTTTCCTAAAATTTGATTACTGATTTATTTTAGTTTTTTATTATTTTAAAATATTTAACTTATAACTTCATTTATGTATTTTTAAACACACATATAATAACTAAAAGAATATATCACAATTTTAAAATAAAATAATACCAACAGATTATTAACAAAACATGCAAATTAATTTTACATAAAAGTAACTTAAATAATTAATTTGATTTTCAAGACAAATCTAGAAATGTTCATAATATAAATCATTTTTGTATTATACATGTTAAAAATATATTTTTACTAAAACTTATTTGTTTATAGTAGTTAGCATTTTTCTTTATTTTTTCCTACCTTAGTGTATAAATGAAACAAATATGTTTTGAACTTTTTTGTTTACATACAGGAGAACTTTCGTTTACAACATCACCACATTTATTTTTCCTATGTTTAATGCATAAATGAAAAAAAAAACCATTTTTGTCAACTTAAAAAAAAGGTTATAAGATGAGAAACTAACATGATGTTGTTGTAGAAACTTGAAAAAAGTGATTTTTGGTTTTTCTTTAGAAATAACGGTTTGTTTCAAAAACCAGTTTTCCTAGATTATAGGAAATATATTTATCCAAAAACTTGATTGGCTAAAAAGTAGTTTTTTCAAAAACAAAAACTAAAAACTACAGCAAAATCTGTAAACAATCATCCTCTAGACCAGTTCAAACCCGGTAGAACCAGTGATCCTCAATTATGCTAATTAGGATCCTCAATTAGAGAATCCAAAAGAAAGTATTAAAGAATATCAGAGATAACAATGACATTTATTAGACAAAAAAGCAAAAATAAAGAAAAATAATGAAAAAAATAAGCAAAAATATAGAGAAAATTGGAAAAATAAGCAAAAAAATCTAGAGAAAAATGTATAGATAATCAAATTCTCTATATAAATATCAGTTTTCTAAAAGATAACCAAACGGTTGGTCATTGTATATCACCTAGAAATATATTTTGGATGTATATGTGAGGTATATATGGTGGACATATTATAAATAATTCTACAGTAATAAATATTATAAATTATATGTAAATAATAGATATACAATAAACATAAATATGCTATACATTTAATTTTTTTTATAGAATTTTAAAATAAAAATAGAAATCGGTATAATTAAAGTCACGAGAATCAAAGTTTTAATTAGGATACAAATACTTAAGAGTTCAAACAGAAAGTATGTAAAAATCCAGCAACAAAAGAGATCACAGTTACACAAATCCAACTAGTAGCTCCTCTAGATAATTTAAAATACTTTTGACATTTTTCAATAAATTTGCATATGTAACCAGTTAAGAAAGGTGCTCATCAAAATCAATCACAAACTTAAACAATCATGTAATAATATAAATCAACTAACTGGATTAAAATTTTCAAAATATACTAGCTTTACATTTTCAAAAAAAAAGAAACTAAACAAATGATTTTCTAAAATCAGACCACAAATAAGCTTAAATTAGTGACTCAACCAAAAAAAATCATGAAGAATATTAATCATGGAAAAACAATTAAGCAAAATCATTTCTGAAATAATTACGGATAGATAGAGATGTTCTAATTAATAAAGGGGTTTGCTATTAGTCCAAAAGCCTACCTTTATTAAGGAGACGTTATAGCTTGTCGTTTGTAATGGAGTTAGACATTAAAGATTCGATATAATTAGCAAATGGAAATGGTAAAATTAGTAAAAGAATGATTGAAAGATAGAAGAAATTACAAGAAACACGGTCAACCCTAACTTCCCCAACAAGGAATCTCGGCAACAACAAACAAAACAATAGAATCGTAAGAACCTCCATCAGACCAAACTGCGTGGTCTGATTCGAACCCCAAACGAATCAGACAATAGCAAGAGACACTCCTTCGAATTTAAAATCTGATAGAAAGATTCACTTGATCATCCTTTCCAAGTAAAGTAATCTTTAAACCCTAATCCTTCAAAGAGGATGCTAATATCGTGTTACCTAGGGTTTCTTGATTTTCATTGATCTTGTTTCAAGAACAATGGGAAGCTTTCATCGCCGGACTTTTTCATACGATAAACTTCCCCCCGAACCCATTAGGCTCTCCGTTCTCAAACTAGATGGCTCATCCTTCGGTACATGCATCAATATCATATTATCTTTTACTTTTAGTTCTAGTCTCTACTTAATTATCAATAATTATCCTTGGCTAGCTTCGATTTTAATATATATTTACTACGTGAAGATGTTAATGTAACGAGCTCGGCAACCGTTAGAGATCTCAAGCTAGCCATAGAGACTGCCTTCAGCCACGTCCCGAAGAAGGGACCTTCCAAGATCTCATGGTACTTTACTTACATGTTTTTCTTCTATTATGGTTAATGTAAATTTCAAACAAGTGTATTCTATGGTGAAGGTCACACGTGTGGGGACATTTCTGCTTGTGTTATGGTGGTCAGAAGCTAGTCACCGATACGGAGTGCATCGGAAGTTATGGCATGAAGGACGGTGATGAGGTTTTATATCTAATTATTCCATCTCATTTTCATGATACATGTTATATAGGTTTAGGCAGGTGTAAAAAGATTCAGTACATAACAAGACGTTGTTACATATATATGTTTCAGGTAAGATTCAAGAACCATGTGTCCGGCAATGCCATATTGAACAAGGGATACTCTAGAAAATCCAAACAAAAGAATTTGTAAGTCTAATTCTTTTCGGAAGATAATTCCTTAAATCAGAATATCTAATTATTTTCTAGTTGGTTCTTAGTGAACAATGTTTTTAATACTTTTGATTTGTGATTGTGACAATCCACAACTTTTTGATTCTTAACTAAAATATGTTATACTACAAATTAATAACAGAGAGAGGGTAGGACCAAAAGATGAAGCTGAGGAAGTGAATAGAATGGAGGAGATTGATCAAGACTCTTGGGATGTTCTCGAGAAAGGAAGCTTGGTGAGATACGAGGATGGTGACATGGAAGCTTCTCCAGGAGACAACAGGACTGGTCTAACCACTGTCCATGGTTGCTGCTTTGCTTTTGGTCTGAAGGAGCTTCGTGGGTTTGGCAATGACAAAAGCTATTACTCTTTGAGAGATACTTGGAGAGACGATTGAATGGTTTCTTTTTTTGTTTGTTTTATATTGGTAAGATTTTTGGTCGCAGGATACATTTATTTAAATTTGTAATCACAACAAAATGATCTAAGGATCATGTTATATTACAAAGGATAGTATGTTCAGGGAAGCTTTATACAATGATCACTAGTACACATAGTATAATGCCTCAAACAAAAGTGGAAACAAACATAATAGTCTTTGGTAGACATGCCTTGCTTTTGTCAGTAATCGCTGAGCAGCCTCCAACAGAAAGAACCTGAAGATTCAGTTAGTTGGGAGAAGATGCTAATCTGAGACCATAGTGTTTGATATGTCAACGTCATTGACTGAGTAGCAGTTCTTGGCTAGTGTTACAAAGCTTGCATCAGTAATGTTCTTGCATCCATCAAGGTTAAGAGACTCCAATGTGCAGATTTTGCTAAAAAAAAAACAAGTCCTTTGCTAGAAACAAGCAAGCATTTGATCAGGACAACCACTTCCAACAGCTTCAGGCCCATTGGCCCAACATCACTGAGAGTGACTTCAGTTTGAGTTATTCTTGGGTTCACCCTAGGGGTGAACCTCTAGGTTTACCATACAATAGGATTTCACTATTTCATCTTTGATATCTTTTAAAAAAGAAAACAAAATCTTGGTGAGTTATATTATGTTTTTCTAAAAAAATACAAAAATAAATAAAAAATAATAATAATTAATAAAAACGAAAATGATCTTTTTTTAAAGAAAAATTTTAACACTAAACCCTAAACTCTAATCCTAAAACCTAAACCCCTAGGTAAATCATAAACCTTTGGATAACTTTTATAAAATAAGTTCTTTAAAAAAATATTTTAACACTAAACCCTAAAATCTAATCCTAAACCCTTGGGTAAATCATAAACACTAAACCCTAAACTCTAATCCTAAACCCTTAGGTAAATCATAAACACTAAACCCTAAACTCTAATCCTAAACTCTAAACTCTTGGGTAAATCATAAATATTGAATTTTTAAAACACTATAAGATTTATCTAAAGGTTTAACATAAATGCGTTAACCTTTTGCGTTAATGTCAATGTATGAATTAACATAAATGCGTTAACCTTTTGCGTTAACCTTTTGCGTTAACCTTTTACTGTCAATGTATGAATGCGTTAATGTCAATGTATGAATTAACATACATACACGAACTTATAACATTTATGTTAATTCATACATTGACATTAACGATGTTTAATGAATAATTTTCTAGGATAATCTCTTTTAATTAATTTGACAAAAAACTTTTAAAATAGAAAATGACCAATTATTTTTTTATTGAAGAACAAATATATTGTTATACCTATGAGGTTAAATAACCTTAGACATCTAAACTATTAAAGGGGAAGTACAAATAGTATATACTCCTTAGTTTTCCACAAAAATTACAACTTTATGCCAATGAAATTAAAACACAGTAGTTTTGATTAATGTCTAGTTATTATTTAGTTGGGCTGCTGTAAGTTTGTTTTTGCCAGCCCATAAAGAAGAATTTCGATGGCCTGTTAAATAATACTCATAATTATAGACAAATGCATAGTTTATACGTATTATATGTATACTTATAGATATAGTATTCAAATAAAATAAAAATCAAGTTTAAAAACATGATAAAGTTTTAAAATCTATTTTCTTTTAAAACTTATACAATAAGAGAAATATATAACAACTCACAAATATATATATATATATATAACAGAATACAGAAACATGAAAGTGATTTATACTCTTAATTATAAACTTAAATCTAACAAATGAACCCATTATATGAAACTGTTATATAAAATCATTAAGTTTTTGTGTGTTTTATATGTTTATGTAATTATAAAAAAAATAGCCGTGCGGGCACGCGGGTCAAGATCTAGTTTTTCTTTAAAGTTAAAGGTGAGATTTTGGCCTGGAGTTTAAAATATTCAAAAATAAAAAATAAATATTAAAAATTTAAAATAAAATTTGATAAATATTTTCTAAAATCATTTTCTAAATTTCAAAAAACATTTTTAATTTCAAAAATAAAAAGAAAATAAATTTTATTTTATTTTATTTTAATATTTTATTTGTTATTTATATATTTATAAACCAAATGGTACAAAAGTCATTTGTCTCTTTTCAAGCTTAGGTTTTAGTTGCGATTGACAGTAAAATCTTTTGGTCCAAAATCGTTGAAGGTTAAGAGGAAGAAGATGAATCAGTTTATGAAACAACGCCATTTTACTATGTTCCAAAAAATTTAATATTTGATCCAAAATAATTTTAATATTCAGCTTCGATTATATAAACTTACATATTATATTTTTGGTTTTTTTACAATATGTTTGTATGTGAAGCTGACTAATCAACCACATAATATCCTAGTTAGTATCGTTAACTATTATTAAATATCGTTAATGTCAATGTATGAATTAACGTGGATTTTATAAGTTAATGTAACTAATTCAAATTATGTACAATTTAGGTATGTTTTTGCACACAAGAAAAGTTTAGGTGTGTCTTGGCAGACAAAAAAAACTTTAAATATATTTTAGCACGTTAAAAAAGTTTAGGTATGTTATTTCCAGAAAGTTATAGTTCGGGTATGAATAAACCGTTTTCCCGAGAAACATATATATATATATATATATATATATATATATATATATATATAACTGAAATAAACAAGATCTCTAAAGTCTAAACTGACTCTTTTCAAAACATGAAATAATATTCCATGTATTTCATTTTATTAGTTGTTTTAGGTTTATTTACAGAACTTAAGAAAATCTTTATTTTTACATATTTTCAAAATAAAATATTTATCTATACACTTAACCACATATCAATTAATAAGAAAATAGAAAAGTAAATAAAACCAATAAATTCTAGATTGAAATAATAAAATAACACTTATTATAAAACAATTTTTATTTTTTTATTACGACAACTAAAATTGAAACGTAATTTTTATTCTCTATAACGACAACTAAATTGAAACGGAGAAAATATAAGATTCTGTCATAATATTGTCACTAGTCACATAAAAGATTTCGAGTGACTTGGAAACTAACCAAATTATCTCTCAGAAAAGTTCATTTACGGAAGGAAACACTTAAATTATAAAATATAATACAATTCTGAGTTACTGCAATAATGTGTTTAACACATACCAAACACACAAACAAACAAAAAATTGGTGTTTCTATTGAACGTATAATAGTTTTAGTTCCTTGAGCTTTTAAATACAAGCCAAGTTTGATTACACACAACACACACAAGAAGAAGAAGAAGAAAGAGAGAGAAGATTAAGTATTCTGTGAGTTGCAATCAATCATACAAGCCTTCTTGCTCCCACACATCCACCAGAAAATCCACCATTTCCTGCCACAATCCATATATATCAACAAACTCCAATATCACATTTATAAAAAAAAATGTCTGAAAAGTTATAAGTGCTTACAGGGAGAGGTATTGGACGAGAGAACCGCTTATTCATACCCAACAAGCTCTCATATGTTGCATTCCAGCTGCATAAATCATCACTCATCATGAGGTTTTGAAGAGTGGATTTGAATGGACAAGAACTCTAATGGCTATTAACCTAAGAACAGCCTTAAGAACTAACGAGAAAAAAAAATCAATCATAAATTCACAAGACACCATTCTTGTAACAGTCTTTGGAATGCTAAGACATGAGTTTTTGTAAATAACAAATGTTTTGAAAAAGAAGAATGACAATCTATACCGCAAACTTATAATTATGTTTTATATGTGAATAATGTGCATTAGTGAATTTCACAATCAGACTATTCACAATATTTGATTCTTGTTCTTGATTAAAATTAAGTGAAGAAATACTACCACACTAATAAAAGATTAAAGCATAAGAGAAAAAGAAAGCTAACTTTTCACCAACCTTATTGTAGGTTCTCGAACTTTGGCTTTTGTTTGAGAAGATCCACTTGCAAGCCACTGTTGTCTTGTTTGTAACCAGAGGTTCAATCCTAACCAGGAAAAAACATCAGAGACAACATTTCTTTAAGGTAAAACTACATCACTGAATAACAAGAATGAGAATAAACTCACCGTTGTTTACAAATTCATTGGGGTTGCTACTACTTGCAGAAGTAGTAGCAGTGTTGTTAGTGAAGCTGATAGAAGAAACGCTTCTCTGTGACTGCATTGTACTGTTGTTATCCATCTCGCAGGTGCTTGTGCTCCAGAAATCGTCTGATACGCTTGGCTTCTTGATTAAACGACCTTGAATCCTCAACCCTTTAGACGGCTCATCCACTGCAACTATAAGCGGTGGTTTATTGCAGCATCCAAAACAACCTCTGTACTGCCATAAAACAAAATACGCTTGTGAGAAGAGAACCGCAGAAAACGTGTGGAGACCTGTTCTTGAAACTAAGAGAAATGCAAGAGATAAGGAACTTGAGAGATGCTTTTGAATCCATATATATTGCTTAAAACGCAAGAAACATCCATATACTATGCTCAGATTCAGTACAGAGAGATAGCAATAGCTAACCTAACCTACAACTGACATTTACTACAGAAATACAAAACTAAAACTTGAGAGATGCTTTTGAATCCATATTGTTTGCTTAAAATGCAAGTAACAGCCATATACTATATGCAAAAGTTCCCATACAGAGAGATCACAGCAGAAGCTAACCTAACCAACAAAATAAAAAGGAATTAATATAGCCACAAGATCTCAAAAAAGATGATGGGTCAAATTCAAATACTTAAAGTTCAAATCTTTACTCAATTCTCACAAGATAAAGGGAAGAAAGATCCTGACTCACCCCATGCAACCAAGTAACTGGTAGATCCAAGAAGGAATATATTCACGGATATGCATCTACAGTAACCAAAGTAACGACCTTCTAATCAACAGTCTGATCCCAGGTAAGAGGAGTCTCNATGATGGGTCAAATTCAAATACTTAAAGTTCAAATCTTTACTCAATTCTCACAAGATAAAGGGAAGAAAGATCCTGACTCACCCCATGCAACCAAGTAACTGGTAGATCCAAGAAGGAATATATTCACGGATATGCATCTACAGTAACCAAAGTAACGACCTTCTAATCAACAGTCTGATCCCAGGTAAGAGGAGTCTCACAATCCTGGAAATTTCAAGATCAAATTTTTACTCTGTTTTTTTTTTTTTTTGTTTGCCAAAAATCAATCACTGATGAATGAATGAAAATTAAGGAAAGTAACCTCAAAAATGGCATATTCGGGGGAAATTGGGATAAGGGTTTTGTTCAGCCACCTCCCTAGCAGCTTGATTGATTGATTCAAGAATTCAAGAACAAAGCTGTCTTCTTCTTTTTTTTCTTCTTTTTATTCGACTTTTTTTTTTGCTCCTGCAACTTGTGTGTATGCGTGTGTGGTGGTTCTGCAACTCCCCAAAAAGAAGGAATAGAAAAATTCCGTTTTTTTCAAAATTTATTTTCACAATTTTTTTGATCAAAACAACTGTGAAACTAAATAAAATAAACGATATTTTCAAAATTATCATTTTATAATTTTGAAAATAATAAAAATGTGAAAATAATAAAATAAAGTGATATTTTCACAATAAAAATTATCAGTTTTCTAATTTATCAGTTTCCTTTTTAAAAAAGTTATCACTTTTTAAAAATTACCAGTTATTCCTTATAGCTAACTTTTATTAAAAGAGGAATTTATCTATAAAATAATTAGACTTTTTGTGCAAAACAAATATAATAATCAAAATTTCCTCGGTTTTTATTTAATATTTTTTATTAGATTTATAAATTATTATTTTTATAAGAAAAATTTATAAATTTTTAGATTAGAAAAATATACAGTGGCATGTCTAGAATTAAAAATTTGCTTGTTAAAAAAGTAATTTTAAAAGCATTAATTCCCAAAAGCTTTCCTTTTTCATATTTTGCTTTAATAAGCATACAGAGAAGAAAGAGATTCGTGCATGTGACAGCCATTGTGATTACTGATTAGGCATAGCTTTTTATGTTCTGTCAACGAACATTTTGTTTCCTTTTGTTTTTGTCATGATTTTATTATAAAAGTAGAGAATTTCCAAGCTAAAGCAAGAGGAGAGGACGTTGTTTGGTTCGTTTCTGATTGATTAGTGACTATCAATACAAATTGTATTTTACCAAAAAAAATATTGAGAATATACAACAAAAAGAAAAGAAAAACATTAATGAGTGAACATGGATGGTATTTGTGTCGGCAGTGTTAAATGGATAAGTAGAGTTATGTCACCATCTCAGTTATTGATACTGTGAAAAAAAGTCTGAAGAGTTTTCTTTGTTGTGTGTTATCCATAAGTTTGATTAATAAAGGTTTATGAACGGTCCAGACTCGTTTTTTTCCACATTATTAAACTCTTTTCTATGTTATCTCAAATCTTATTTAAACTTGACTTACTAACATAACGAAATTACACATTTGCATATAGTTGCAAGTGTTACATCACCTAAGTAGTGAGGATGGGAGGGAGATAATTAGATTTTTCACCTAAAACCTTTGCGTTTGTATCAGGAAACCACTCAGCACCAGCAAGATTTGTTACCTCCCCGTTGGTACCAATGCTAATCGGATAACTAAGTAAATGCCCCGGTAGATCGTGATCTCGTGGGTACACTTGTGCTGAGTATAGTCCCCATAGCTCGTCTGCCTTTGCATTTACCAGTCTTATGCACTCTTCGCTTTCAGGGAACATGAATGGATTGGTTATAATCCGTAGATGTTCAAGCCATACAGATATCCTAAAGCTGAAAACTTGACCTGTCGGCTTCATTTGATTGGTAGATAGCAAATGGTTAGGTTGGTATGCTCCCATTGCGATCTCTGAGTCACGACCTCCATCCATAGACCTTTGGTTAATATTGGCTGATCCTATTATTAGGTATTCATCATCAACTGCATAGAAATAGCAAGTTAGGAACTGTATTTTTATTCTGACAAAAAAAACTGTACGTTATGAGAATTATTATTTTGAATAGGTTTTTGGGGCTTATTTTGAATAGGTTTTTGGGGCTTGGCTGTTCTCAACCCAACATAATTTTTTGGTTTTTAGTTAGGAATTTGGTTCAGTTTGGTAAATTAAAAAATGGTTAATTACCGGTTTTGATAACCGGTTACTTTTTTTTCAAAAGAAAATTATAACCAAACCTTACCACTTATGAAAAACAAACCAAACTAATCAAATAACTAAACTAAACCAAAAGCAACCATATTTAATTTTCAACAAAACTAAACTAAAATCTGACCAAATAAAAAATTTGGTTAAGTTTGGTAAGACTTTTAAAAACTGAGCTAACATAATACTAATCAAATTAGACCAAACTTTTTGGTTTAAATTTAACAGGATTTAGGTTGAACATAACTAACCGAACCGAATAAACTAACTAACCAAAACTGCATGCCTTGGTTCATGGGCTTTTGGCCCACTCCAAATCCTAAGTTGGAAACTAAATATCCTTGTTACGCAAAATAAACTTACCAATCATCATTTTAGAATGGACATAGATCATGAACCGGCGAGATTCTTGAGCTCTTGCATAATCAGAATTAACCGCTGGTTTCTCCGGTGGCAAGTACTCACCAGCCTTATTAACTTCCCGGTTTCCAAGGCAGAAAAACGTAAGGTAATCTCTAGGGTTTGCATCTAAACCTTTCTTCCTTAGAGCAATGACGATATCGGTATACATCATTTCCATTGTTCTCCTTTGCCAATCTAGTATCGCTTGAACTGAAGCAGAACCAGGTTTCCCTTCAGGCCACAACGGTATGACAACATACACTGAAAACCGCTCACCTGCCTCAATCTTGCTCACTATCTTGAGAGAAATCTCTTTGGGGATGAGATGTAAAGCGTTGATCTCGTTAATATTAATGTCTCTAGAACTCCATCCAAAGGAGCTTCCTAGGAAGTATTGGTTCTCTATGTAGATAAAGTGTTTGGCTCTCCTTATGGCGTTAATGTAAGCGTCTTGTATGCTTCTTTCGATCACGTTGTTTTTTCCTGTGATAAGTCCTATGCTTGATGCTTCACGAGGATCCTCGGGGAATCCTACAACCGCACCATCATCTATCGACCGGAAAATTTGGACTGTCCAACCTTCGACATCGTCTGATTTTATAAATGGTAGTGGTGGAACTGTGATCTCTGAGAGCCGTTCCATTGATACTAGGTACCTTCTACCACTCCCTGTAAACAAACACAATTAGTATCTAATGAACAAATGATTAAATGCTTTGAGTTTCAAGGAATTCTTGTTTTAAGTCTACGAATATTTCATGACATTAATTCATGTACATATACGAAAACATATAATTCAGTTTCTTGAAATTTACAGCTTATTATTATTAATTTATAAAAAATTATAGAAAACACACAATTCTATCTTTATAAAACATTTTTTTTTCAAAAAAATGTTCTTTGTAAAAAGGAGAAAATGTTTTCTTGAAATATATTTGCAAACAAATTTTTTTAGGTAATAATTTAAATGAATTATTCCTTTCCGCTATATAATAATTTAAAAATAAAAACTATTTAAAGTTTTAAATGGTGTAGATTTATTTGGAGAAAGTCATGTAAACTTAATAACTTGTTTTATTGTTGTTTATTTTATGTGGTAAAGTGATTATATGATGTAACTGGAAAAACAATCTGTTGAAGCCTAGTGTTATTTGTTTCAATACCTTGTTTCATCCATCTCTGTTCAAAATTATACAAAACATCCCAAGCCGCAGGACCATCCAGCTTGCAGTGAATATCATGCCAAGGCTCACGTGGACCACCTTTTTTAATCGATGCGCCATCAAAGTTCGGCTGGTGAAAGTCATTAGAATGCAAATTATTCAAAGTACCGAACAAAGGATGCTCCTGAGTATCGTACCTCCCATCACAAAGATCAATCCCTCCAAGAAAACTTACTATCCTTCTCTTAGTTTTGGTCCCATCCACTTCAGCGTCCACCACAACGGTTTTCTGATGGTGAGTAAACATCGTAGCCACCTCAAACCCTTGAACAATGCTCCTACCGTTATCCGGATTCCGAGGACACAAAACGCAACGCACTTTCGTGTTCCTAAAGTAATTATAAGTTTCTTGATCATGTGTCATCATCAAACCGTCTCTTTGGAATGCCTCGTTAGATGTTCTATCGTCCCACACAAGCATTAGAACGGTCACGTTCTCCTCAGCTTTCTTCTTTAGCAATTCTCCTAACTTTAGGTTACCTCCTTGTCTCGGCCGTTTAGGATCTCTAATCAATGTTATGTTGGTGTAGACCGACCAACCAGTGATGTATATTAAATGTTTTGCGTCCCATATTGCATCGAAAATATCTTCCCAACACCGATGATGACTGTATATCACTTGTCCTCCCGAGAGGGTAATGTCCTGGTAATCATCAAGGACATGAGCATCTTGGTAAAGCGTAACTTTGCAACCTTCTCGTTGGTTGAAAAATGCGTTAGGTACACCTTTGAAAGAAGGTATAACGATACCATTGTTCCAGTTCACGTCATTTGTTACGCTAGTGAATGTCACACGTACATGGATTTTGGAACCTCCTTGGATAGGACTCTTGTGCTCGTCCAAAAGGTCGAGCCATCGGTCTACAGGTTGTCCTGTGATGACTTCGGTGACAGGTAAATAAGCTCGACCGATCAAGCTCGCACTGACCGGTTCATCTTCTTTGACTGTGAATACGATTTTGGAGATTGAATGTGCCGCGTAGACATGGAAAGATTGGAACCATTTGGGATGACGTCTCATCATGGTTCGAGCCACCCTTGCTCTGTCTAGGTCAACGGTTGCGTAGAGATGTCCTCCTAGTAAATCTGTGCATGAGGTCGTTAGACTCTTCATTGGGGATTGGATCTTTTTCCCCGATGGCTCCTTGTTCCCCTATTGATCATTTTTGAGTTTTATAGAGAATGTTGAATTTGTAATATACTATATTTTAGTATATAAGTTATTTTAGTTACTATTAACTTTCATAAATCAAAACTAATACCAAACTATTAAATTAAAGATACACAAATAAAGTGTTTTTGATTCATAATTCTTTTAACGTGTATGATAAAGATTTAGTTAACATGTTATAAATATTGTGTGATTCATAGTTTATAATCATACTAAATTAACAATTAAAAGTATAATAATAAATCTGGAATATATTTGATTATATCATATACATACCGTGCCAGTGCAACATAAACTGAATCTTCCGCGTTGATGCAACCTGTCGATCCTATATATCTTCACTTCAAGAGTTCCATGCAGCAGCAACTGTTCGGCCATATTCTTTTTCACCTACAAACTATTCTATTTTC